GCTGCCGCTGACTGGTCTGAGGATATTGACAAGGCGAAGGATAATAGTCTTGATCCGCTGCGAACCTGACTTCTGACTGACGCGGGCTAGGCGAACCGAGGTCGCTGAAACTGTGAGTCCGCCGCAACTCACCCGAGGCCGGCCTAAACGGCGGTGCATAGGAAGTCATCATTGGTGTCTGAACCATTTTCGGGGAGGGACGAGAGCAAGAGTACATGGTGTTGGACCAGCAGGCTGGCACCTGAGGCATGTGAGGTTGAGTAGGCGTTCGTGGAACTCCCACCTGTACTGGACAGGTTGTCTGCTAGATGAGAAAAAGAAAAGCCTTTAAGAGGAACTCTAGACCGCCAGCGCCAAATTACACGAACACAAACGCATGGACAACAGGTAAAAATAATTACTAAGTACACTTCAGGATGCATGCCAAAACCAGGGTAAACACACAACAAAATTGGTTAACGAGGAGACCGGTCTCTTACTTATTTCCCATTTTCAGTCAGACGAACCACGTCCTTCATCCAGATATCAAGAATGTTTTCTCTTTCTATATGTTTGATGAGGAAATGAAAGGCTATTCGAAATGAACAACGAACCAAATTTTTCCTAGAACGATGGCAGTATTTGTTTAACACGATAAAAAGTCGTTATATCGTCAAAGAACACAGTCGTTCAACAACACGGTAGCCAGAGGAAAGGTTTGTAGGTCAATGGGCTCCTACGGAGTGCAATAAAAAGGGTCTTGGCCTTGGTCTTCTCAATTCCAGCTTACTCATATCGGATGAATGCGAGGCAACAAGTAATGGGCCGCAGCTAGCTTAGAATATCCAAGTCCCATACAGTTTATTGTCATATATTGTCTACTATGTTTAAATAAGTTGATATACTTTAGTTCGGTTCGTTACCGCATTCTTTCCTCAGATAATGTTAGCAGTTAAGTGTACTTGTCGTTACTGAATTTTCTGCCTGTTGTCGGCTACACGTAGCAATCCTTCCCTTTGAACTATGACCTACGCAAATTATTTTGCTTCGATAACTCTGCTTGCCAGTTTTCATAGCCTACGTCCAAGCCCCGCACCCAACTTTCCCCGGGGAAATATCACCCGCGGCATCCAGCCATATGACTTGACGACCATCTGGTCAGAGAAGGTTCATCCATATTTCATTAAATTGCTCGCAGTCCCAGCCATCCTTTTGCTTGTTAGTGGGGGCAGTCAGCATTTTCAAGGGACGAGAAATCCACCAAAAAACCAGGACCCAGTGATCGCTAGTCGCTCTTTGATTGTCTACGACGGCTGTAGCCATTGGAATCCAAGTCGAATTGGGCCCTATCTCTCCAGCATTCAAATTAGTTCAAAGAAAATCTCAAATGAATCGGCGTATTCTCGAGCAAGGCCGTATGCGGCTGGTGCGCAGCTCAGTTGCAGAGAGTATTTGGTGATCATTGGCCGATAAGAACTCATACAAGTTCTCCGACTGTACCGGCTTGGTATTAAACGTACATATAGCTAGTGGAAATGTGCACACTGGTATCTCCTGCCTTGCCTATAATCTTTTGGTTTATCTATTGTTTTTTTCGTTGTGGAATTACTGCGGCAAGGCACAACGAAATCCTGTGTATCCACAGAACGCCGCATCAACTCAGGGTGACAAGATCAGTCGACTAGAGAAGCAAATAGGAAACAGAATATGCAGTGAGTACATTCGTATCCAATGCTAGACAGGTTTCTCACGTCGATGTTCAATGTTGTGTCCACTAAACAGGCATACAATAATTTCGCAAATCTACGGGTTAAATAATGTCCAATGAACATGTAATCGTGCGGAAAGACGACCTTACCCAGCTGCAGACTTGAAAGAACGAAAGTGAAAAGTAAAGTTAGCAACAGCTCTTGAAGGAAGACCAGACAAGCATTAAAATACGACACAACTGTCACACTAGAGAAAGGATCATGCAAAATCCTGGCGAATGAGAATAAAAATGAAAAAGCCCTCAATAAATGAAGTGAATATAACACAACTGCAGGGGGACCACATTATATATAGTAAAACGTTACCGTGACCAATCAGAACAATGAAACAAAACACACATAGCATAAATATAATTAAATAAGACACTGGAACAACAAGCACGAACTTTAGTAAAGTATTGTTCCTACTTATTTGATTTAGGTGACTTTGCTACATTGTCCGTTGCCCTCTGCTTTCCTTGTCTGATTAGCCTCCAGTCGGAAGACTTAAGCCCTACCACTTCCGGCAACTTCCTGTACAATTCTTCTAATAGTATTCACGGGCCATTGTCGGTTTTGTATTAGGCACCGACAAGATCATTGGAAAACATCCTCTGTGCTTTCTTTAGGTTGTCAGCTGTCAATTAAATCAGTGGCTTCAATCTGTAAACCCTGTAACGCCCTGTCACCCAACATATCAACGAAAGCATGCATTGCCCTTGAGGAAAATTGCCGTCCTCCGCGTACACTGCGTCGTCTAGACTTCTTCCCATTGTACTACACGACGCATCAACCACAGTTGTGGGAGAATTTATTATAACCTCCGTATCACGCACATGTTAGAAAGGACATCTACTTGCGGATTGTAAAATTTGATGGTGCATGTAACTGGGCTTCTTAATCCACGTTAGTTTCTGTCAGTAAAAATAGGTCATCGGAAAACCGACGCTGTTTCTTCTCCTACGCCGTCGCCAGTGTCACAGACCTCCGCTCTTACTTTAGTTCCTACCATTAGGCAGGTTAGCGGCTTCATGTCACAACTGGCGGTGTCTGCGGGTTCTGTTTACAACTTATTTTACCATTTACTTTGTGTTTTGTCTTCAGCGGGTTTTCCATCTGTTACTGGTTTGGTCGTATGATAGTGTTCACCCAATCACCGAATAGAGCAATTTGCCTCAAACGATGCAATTGACATTTCAGACTATTCTGTTGTCCGCCAACTTTTTGTTTCAAACTGCTGACAGACAATCTTAAAGCACAAACTGATGCCATCCTCCATTATGAACTATTATTAGAATGCCATTTAGATGGTACTTATATAAAAGTTTTAGGTGGAAAATGTTTTAAACCACAGTTACTAGAAATTTCATTTATGCTTTTTGAAATGAATAACACACAAATTCAAAGGTTGTTTTTGTACGTTGAACTACTTAGAATTTTTCGGTGAATTACTGTATTTTTCGGAACTAAAAGCATTAAGAGGTAAGCAAGAGTGCCAGAATTAAACCATGGAGTACGAGGCTAAGTTTTATAGTTCATGATTTGCTTACCGGAATTCTGACTTTTTCAAATTTGAGGCTAAGTTTGTTTAAGCAGGGTACCTAAGCCTCATGCAAGTTTGATTGACTTGTTAAAGAGAACCTGCTTAAATGATTGCTGAAGAGAAAAAACATCAGTACAGGCCAGGGAAAGCTCAAACAGTCGATACCGTATTCTTCAGCATTATGAACACCAGTTTATAGGACAAGATATCCCGAATTAGATGCATGGCTAACAAAGAATAAGGAAGTCTGTTAAAAGAGGGTTGTCTGGTTTCGAAATAATTCACCGTTTTTGCGAAGTAGTTATAAGTGAGCTCGCATGCTTGTGTCGCCACGTCAACTTATTTTTAAATTATTTTCTTAATCAGTAAACTTGAATGCAAAAAGTCAGTCTTCCGCTTCACTGTGCCACTTTTGGTTTACAATCTGCTTGAAAGAACAAACTTTTTTCATTGTGCTTTATAACTCCAGTCCGATGTACTCACGTAGTTCGATTAACGGAAAGCAGTCAATGCTGTAGAGGGTGTATCAACAAATAGGAAATACATTTAAATAGCCATTTCTACAACGTGAATCCAAAATATCAAGCGAATAAAGATTTTGTCTCATCGATTGCATATTTTTGTTCTTTCCAAAAACTTCTCGGGACTCGCATTGTCGCCTGTATCGGCAACGAGGCAGACAATTGACATAGCTTGTCGAGGCTAAGGCAGATAACATTTTGTTAGGGCAGGCTGATGAAAGTGGGGGAATAAACTAACCAAAAATGTATTTTGGTGAATTGGGGCGAGCTACTGAATTCATACAAAGCGCGTTACTTGTTCCTTATTGCGGTCACAACAGCAGTTCAAACAGAAAGTTTCCTCGGACAGAAATGACTGGCCGACCGTAGAAGCCAAGCGTAAGATAACAGCGATCGTCTCGAACAATTAGCAGACGTAACTTCAGCAGCTCAGACTTAGTGACTACACCAAACCTATTCATTCTTGCAAAAGGAAGCCGCTGGCTGTCTAATTGTTATTTCCTACAGCACCCATTAACCAAATACTCAGGTTACCACATACTACATGCGTGAGGGCGTTCCCGTGTCCACCATCTGTCTCCCTGTAGGTTGGTGCAGTGAAGGTGACTTGCACAGAAATTAGATTACAGTGGTAGAGGGCTTGTACTGCATCCACCCCACTTTCGCCTGCGCGCCCGGGCTCAGTCTAATGACTAAGTCGAGAAGACCGGAGGCGGAGATGATGCAGGTGCCTGACGCAGTCGGAGCCGCCCCAAGAGTGCCGCCACACCTAGCTCAGATCCCCCGGAATTGAGGTGCCACTTACCCCATACTAAGCAGAAACTATTGCAGCATGATTTTCACTCCGCCACTCGACCATTCCTCACAAACATGCACTGAGCTGACTGCGCGCTCCGAGCTATTCTGTCAGTTGGCAATCTCCCAAACTATGACTTGATAGGCTTACTCCAAATTTGTTAATGATACGCAAGTTAAATTTGATCTAGCCTCAAATACCATCTTCAGTCGAACTTCAGAGAAAAGTATGGCAAGAAGGACACATAACAACTGTTTAGCCTTTATGTATGAAGATTTGAACATTTCAATCGAGTGCTTAGACGGACATCAGCGTAGGATTCCTCGTATACACAGTCAACTACTGATTTTAGCAAAGAAATAATTTCGGATAGAATATTGCGGAAGTGAAGATTGGCTGAATGAAGGGCTAGTCCTGTCTTGCCAAAAAAATACGCTGCATGCAAGATGACAAATGCTTTCGGAAGAAACGAGCTGGAAGAAACATCGTAGCTGTAAAACGTGGTTGAACACAGCTGAGAATCAGACTGCTTGCGGACATGAAAGGAACCGCAATTTACGCATTCTGTACAACAACAAGACGCACCGGTTCGAGGGCAGAAGTAAGGGCATGTGTGTTAGTTATGTAGTATTTATACCAACAAAACTACGTACTTAATAAAAATAGGTAACACACAAATATATGATTCTGGACAAGGTGTGGCAAAATACACTTTAAAAAAGTTGGCATTTTCGTAAACTTTTGCTGCGATCTAACCTTTTGACTTATCGATTATTTCGCTATAAACGTACCTGATTCACGTGATTTGGCGGTGCCATGCGCCTGAGTGAATACGTCGAGCGGTTCGGTTCTGCAAATGTGCCGTTCTTCTTCTGGGGGCAAATCGATGGAACAAAATTGGAATGATTGTACCCATTGCTTGCAGCTACAGCCGACGATCCCAATCCATAGCCCTGCGTTGGCAAAGTGGAGAACTGAGGAGGTGTTGCCGCTGTGTACGGGTGATAAGCGTAGGAGTGTCCTGCTACCTGCCCGTCTGGATACTGATCAGACTTGAGACTGTCGGAGTTCATACGATCCAATAAGGGATCTGCCGAGTAGAAGTACTTGCCACTTTGTTGCGCAGGCGAAAATCTTTCACTAGCTGCTTTTACCAAAAGATATATAGGGAAAAATCATTTGTTTGGTCAGACATCATGGATTAAAAAGATAAAAAAAAACAATTAGGAAACGGTTTTACTGTGAGTCAACAATCGAGAACAAAAAGGAGTTCTTCGGAAAACCCAGGATGTATGTACTTGTGAATTTTCGAGCTGATGGCACGTGCTCTTCATCAGACGAGTTAAAAGGAAGTGAGGGAGAAAGATTACTCAATGTAGTTTAAGCGAATAGTACAGCTAGACCAGTGGCGTGTGAGGTGAGTCATGGTTTGTGAACCTGCGTGTTTGTGGGCGTCGTGCGGTCGGAACGGGGAGGGCGGATGGTTGGTCGGTAGATTTTGACGTGACCAGGTTAGCGGTCGTCGATGTGGGATTAGAACGGGGTACGTTATGTTTTGATCTTAAGCCACCGTATTGGTCGTTCAAATCGACTTGCAGGTTGATACTGCCCGCCGTGCAGTACCAAGCCTCGAGGACAGCTAATTTATGTTCCTTGATACGGGTAACCAGGAGTCGACCTGTGTGACTAACATACGCGCAAGAGCCATCTGTGCACGTATTCGATAAACCACGTTAGATTAGTGTTCCGGCAGGAGTTTCCTTGGTAGCACACATATGTCCTTATTTATAGTTAAATGCCTACTACAACGCTTCCCGTAAAACAGAAACTTGGGGCATTTTACATGCGATATCACTATCCCAACCTTACCCTTACCCTTTTCCTAACCATAACCCTAATCCTAACCCTTACCCTAACACTTAACCTAACCCTTACCCGAACATTAACCCCAGCCCTTACCCTAACCATAAACCCAACCCTTACCCTAACCCTTACCCTAACCCTAACCCTAACAGAAATTAATTGTGTAGGCATTCAAATATAAGTAAGAACATTGTGCGCTACCAAGGAAACTCCTGCCAGTGTTCCTTTGTTTTAGGATCCTTTACACGTGATAGTGCTGCGGTTAATGACGATGCTGTTTTGTGCCCGATGTGGATATCGAAGGGACCTAACTGTCTGACGATTACCTCGGAAGTTCCCTGCATATAAGGGAGCGAGTAGAATTTTCACGTCAGCATTTCTTCGTCAGGGTTGGGGGCTTGTGGTTGTGCTTGATGCCTGAGGCAGTTCTCTACGAAACTGATCGGATATCCATTAGGTCGAAACAACCGATACATCCGTAACCTGGGATGACCTCATTTACAGCTGTCTTGCTCCCCGACAAACTCGTACCTTTACTTGGTTAGTTTGTGATCATGCCTGATTTAGCCGGCCGCTGCCTGTTGGTTAGATCCTTCAGCGAAAGCGTTAGAGATATAACCTCGAACAGGTACGCCGATTGGCGTCTGATGATCCAGCTGTTTTCAAAATCTCCGAAGAACTTCCTGAATAAAATGGCCAACTGCATTATGAAGTATATTTGGCAAACTTATGTTTTTGGCAATTCATCATCCGGCCTGTACCATTACATTGCTAATGAACATAGAAGAGTTGACCAATACTCACAGATTATCATGTGTTCTCCCCTTCCCCAGTGCACTGGCCTCTACATGCCGTCTTCGCCATGCAGGCGGTGTGAAAACGAGTTGTAATCATAAGATATATATAAACCATGTCCAACTCTTTTATGTTCATTATCAATGCAATTATACAGGCCCCATGATCAATTACCGAAAAAAATGTTTGTAAAATAGATATTTCAAGTTTAACGTGGGAATAATTGCAGGACTTAGACAGTCCCTTGCAAGACTCACGCGTCAGGTTGTCCTGCGAGCGACCCCTCGAAAGACAGCCACAAGTTGTGTCATAAATATCCGCGGCGCCAGGTCGTCCCAAAGCGTCGGATCCGTAGACTTTTTCGGGCGGGTATCCACTGCCACCGTGAACTCCAGATGAAGACAATTGTGCTCGCGTCCCATTGCGGCCGTGAGGAATATGCTTTTGCCTCTTTCTCAACAGAAAAGTGATGACCATGATGTTTATGAAGATGACGATGCCACCGACTACGCAGGCTGAGACAATAATGAAGAGGGAGTTTGTTCGAGAGTAACCACTGGTCTTTATGGAATGGAATCCGCCCATCCAGTCGCTAATTCCACCTATAAGGAGGAAAGGGACGGGGCTATTATTGTTTTCAGTGTCAGTCTTTTAGCAATACAGCCAGGCATATCGTATGCGAACACACAGAACTTTCCCACTCGATGACAACCAGCAACTCCTGAATCCGCATACAATAATAAAAGCCTCATTTGTTAAAAATTACTGTCTGTATACGTACGCGAAAGAACAATTAATGGCTGCATATGCGTCATGACATTCAGGCCTATACTGTCTAGACATCGTGGCTCTATTTCAGACCGTAGTAAAGACTCATTGGCCCTGTCCATCAATTGTTCTCGAAATATAACGCAGTGTGACACCACAAAGAAGAGGAGCCTTGTCCGCTGAAATATCAATATTTTGTCCTCTCTTTTTACTGCATACAGTATGCACTTTGGAAACATTGAATGTAAGTGTTATGGCCGGAAGGGTTCCAAATTATTCGGCCATTTAGAATTTTTTAAGCTGAAAAATGTGGCCTTTTTCAAGTATTAAATGTTAACAAGGCGTACTCTACTACCAAACGCGTGCGCCTGTTTTCTATAAAATATATTTGAATTTATAAGAGCAATGAAAATCAATGAGAAAAAAACATGCTTACTATACAAGAAGCCATTTTTTTTCAAGTGTAAGCTTTTTGCGGTTGGTCAGAAAGGAACTGGTTCAAAAGCCGGCATCCAAAATAACTGAAATATATTGCATGTAGGCTATGCAACAAGCAATATTGCAATCCTTTTAAAAAATATTTTCAAATCGAAAACAAATGTCCGACTTTCGACTATCATTTCATAAAATGGGAAATCTACTGTAGGTCTACTAAAAAGTACTCAAAACCTAAAGCTGATTTGATTTTAATAAAAATACACCTGGTTTGTCGAAACACGATACCAGTTTTGTCTGTTTATTTGATGATCAAAATATATCATAAGTTTAAGTAAGTTGTCTATCGTGCCTGAGCCATTTACTTTTTAATGGAGAAACTGCCGTTGGGAACTTCAACAAGTAGATTCAACGTTTCTAATAACATCGTAAACGTTGAAATTAATAGATTTTCCGGAATGATCTGAGGATCAGTCCACTAAAACTCACGTATTATGTTGCATCTGACGTTTCGGTTAACTGTCTCGTCTATTCATAGTCCGAGAGTGAATACTATGGCTCCTGGCTCTCGCTATATGCTGCTGTTTTCTTCCACGTGCGTAGTCTGCCAATCCAGTTTGAACCGCTCTGTGCGGTTCGCGTCTCTAACTGGTAACCGCAGGCCACCCCACCCACTTAATAACAGTCATACACTTAAAACCAATCACATATATAGATATAGCGTACAGAATTAGCAGCTAATAATTATTTGAAGAAGTGGATCCGACAAAGCAAAGGGAGACCGGAATGGCCATTTC